CTCTCCAGGCTTCTGCAGGCAGTGGGCACACACTGGCAGAGTTTTCAACAACATTTTATATAATGTTTTATGGCTTTAATTTTACACTGGCCTGGGGACATAATTACTGAACAAAGACTGCCTGGGGCACGTGAGTGACAGAAGACAATTTACCACCTAAGAGTTAGCAGATGAGCTCTGTGGCCTGCTCAGAATCTCACCCAGGGGCGGGGAGGATCCGCCCCCCAAAGCAGATTGCAGGAATGTCACACGGAAGAAACAGGAGAGCTGCACGGCTGGGACCTCAGAGTCTTGCTACACATTAGCTACACACATAATTTCGGGTAGCTATCAATATGGAGAAAAACAAAACTGGTTCATAGTATGAAAAATAAGGTGGGAATGGGGTAGGACAGCTTTAGTTGGGGAGGTCGCCTCTACAGAGGTGCCATTTGAGAGAAATCTGAATTCTGAGGAAAGGCCACGCATTCGAAATCTGGGGAGAGCACTCCAGGCAGAGGGAACCGTGGAGGGACACACATGCCAATTCAAACTATGTTAATTCTACAACCAATAACAGCTACTGCTTGTGCAATAATCTTATGTCGTGTTTAAAACTCATAGCTGCTCCTGTGACTTCCACTCGGTCTAGGAACTGTGCAGAAGATGAGTCCCCATTTGTAAAAGAGGAAACCTGGCCAAAAGAAGTGACATCCGGGTCAAGTTAGTTGCAGGCTAGGACTCGCAGCCACACTGGCCTTGGCAGTGGCCCTGGGCAGGGTATTCATACCCTCACACAGGAGTGTGAACTCTGTTTCTGGATGGCAGTCTCATCTCCCGTGCTCAACTCCTCCGCCTCCTGAGCTCCTAGCCTTCCACAAACACATGTTCTCCCAACTGATCAGACGTCTGAGGCAGTGGTCCCAGCTGTTTTTCAGGGACCATTCCAGGTCTGGTTCCCTAGAAGCAGATGCTGAGGTGGATACGCCCAGCAGGAGGTTCTGTGGGTAGTGCTCTGAGCAGCAACGCCTGTCAGGGAGTGAGGGCAGCAGAACTCCTCGGAGGGAGAGAGAAAATTGTGACGTGCTCACAATGGGAGCCTCAGCCGATGGGTGCTCTGGAGTTTGCATGGCCCTGCAGAGACTTTCCAGACTGGAGGCCTCTGCACCCCATGCTGAATAATCACTGGGTACCAGCTTCCTCCAGAGAGAGAGAGAGTGTGTGTGTGTGTGTGTGTGTTTGTGTGTGGGAGCTCCTGTCGGGGGGGGATACAGCTGTAAGCTGTCACAGACAAAGCCCCCTGACAGCTGGGGAATGGAGCCTCAGTCGTGGAAGCAGATTCCAAATTTACACCTCAGCATCCTGCATACAGCATTGTAGAAGACGTTCTGACAGACTGAAGTGCCTCCAGAGGAAGTCTGTCTGGATGCAACCGTTGAAAAATCACACCATTGAGTAAGTAGGGATGTTCTATCTGGTGAAAAACAGCGTGAAGGGAAAGATGACCACCTCCTCCCCACTGACATTTGAAAAGCAATGGGTAGTTTATGGACAATGAACGTGAAACTGTGTCACTGGTGGACATAACTAGCAGTTAAGAGTGCCAGTCAATGCCTGTCTGCACAGATCCATTCCCTGACTTCCTCCCGTGGTTCCAGAAACTCACAGATGGCCCTTGTTTCTGAGTTTTGCTCATGACACCTCCCGCTCCTCCCCAGCCTTCTTCCTTTGGTGGTATTGAGGTCACCTCAACATAACTCTTCCATCACCTCTAGTAACCAATCCCCTCTACTGTATCTCCTCCTTTTAAAACACCTGGAGTGGCTCTTGATTTCTGGTTGGATCCTGATTGATACAATCCTACTACATTTGAAGTTCTTTAATAGAAAAAATGAGAATTCTAAAATCCTAGACTTATAAAAGACTTACAAAGTCATTTAGTCAAGTCCCCTATCTTTGATGAATCCCTCCACGATATTATTGTAAAGCAATCCTCTCGTCTCTGTTCATCTTCCGTCAGCGCTCTGGGTTGGAAACAATGGTTTGGGTTTGCAGGGAGGTGGACTTCAAGTCTATTTGGGAAAGAACCGCCTAGGACTTCCTGGAGAGATGGGGAGCTCCCCGGCACCATTAGTACTTAAGAAGAGACCACATGGACGTTGTAGAAGGGACTCCACCACTGGTTGCTGGAATATGCTAGATAACTCCCAGAGCTCCTCCAACTCCTGCCATCAGATGACCCCACACCTAAGTGAAGTGCATTGAGCCCCCAAGCAATTGCCCTCCCTCTAATTCTCTTTCTTTTTAACTTGATGACGTTTCAGCATATCACTAACTGCTGCCCATCTTCCTTCCTCTACAACACAGTCGTTCCTGGCCTCACAGCACAGTTTTGTTTATCACAGGCAGGGGGAAAGCCTCAATGACACCCAGATGTTCTGTGTCCTGCTGATGGCACTGTGACCAAAATAAGTGGCTATCCTTGTCCTACAAGTACGGTGGAGACAGTGGGATTTTACACTGAGCGCTATCCCAGAACCACACCACAGAACCATCCTGTAAGTGACGACACGAAATTCTCCACGTACCGGGCCCCTCTACAGGTACACTCCTAGGAAACAGAATCAACCGAGAAAAGAAAATCCAACAGACCAAATGGAGGGCAGAGGGTCGTGGAGCAGCTCTCAGATGTGTGCACCACACTCCCGGTTCAGGGGGAGTCCACACCATAACCTGGTCTCGGCAGCACACACAGAGGCCTCACTGGTGCCGAGGCCATTCGGATTCACGTGCTGTTTCGGGAGACTGCCTGTGAGCAGGAGGTGCAGAGGGCGCTGAGTTTCCTTCAGTTTGCCAGTGTACTTTCTCATTGACTTCTGAGAAACGTGTGTGAAGACAAATTTGAAAGTCTAAGTGTGTCTGAGCCTGAGTGTCCCTGAACGGCCCCGTGCAGTCACTCCTCCAGACCCGTGTGCATCTACCCAACATGGGGGGCACGTCTCGGGACCACACACCGCCAGAAATGCGTAACACAGGATATCTCAAAATGCAGACTTTAGAAACACCTAGACTGTGAATCCTACACGTTCAGAAAAAATACGTGGGTCGTTGTTTCCTAGAGTCCCTCTGCATTTCCATAAACAAATAAATGAGTTATGCTGAATGTCAGTCCCGCTTGTTGGCACTGAAACGCAGGAAAGAGGAAGACACATAATCACAAGGCTGCTTCCAGAGAGTAACCGGAAAGACGTCCGTGGGCCCCTTCCGTCCTCTCCCGTCAGCAGCAGCACCAGCAGGCATCTGTGCGCTTCCCACATTCTCACCTTGCACATTTTGTTAATTCAGGATATTCCTTTACATGGAGAGGAGACGTTCTTTGCTTTTGATTTTATGCTTCCCCCGTGAGCTTCCTGACGGTGTCGGTCCCTGGTGCACCTGGGCCGAAATGATGGGCCCATTAGCATGCCCTTCTGACAGAGCTGCACGTGCCACCCATACAGGACTGAGGCAACCTGAGAGAGAGCCGGGCTGGTTAGTCTCGGAAGAAGGCAAAGCCAGCCATTGTCACATGAGTATGAAAAAGGAAATCCCAGTTACCTAATTTCCAGATAAAACAATAAGAGGATACTTTGATATAAAAGCAATAGATAAGTTAATTGAATATACACAAGTACTCACTTTCAAAGCACTTTATTCTGAATGTGCATGAAATGGTCTTTCTGTGAAACATGAGCTCCGAGCTATGAAATACGGGCTGCCTGTATGTTATGATCTTGGTTCTGAGGCCAGAAGCTATTCTGTTTAAATGGTTTTGTTCATGTTGAACTCTAGGAATGAGGATAGGGTGGGTGGGGTCCCATAAAAGGCCTATTGTTGGTTTGATGAGGATTTGCATAAATTCACATTTCTCTAACCCTTCTTAACGTTACGTTAAAGATCTAAGAGACTTAGAAGAGCTATATGTGGATTCTTCCTGAGGGAGGAAAACCAACATGGCATCTGCAGTCACAACCCTTAGGATGAATGATCATAACCGCACTACGAATTTAGTAGTCGAGGCCGAGAACGGGAAAGGTAGAGTCATTATTTGCTGCTCTGTATACACCGGATCTTTACTTCTTTTCCTGAAGAGTCACCACCGTGAGTCGGCAGCATGCACCAACGGCCTTTCCCGTATCTCTCCTTGGGTTGCGTCAAACACAGCTCCCTGCCCGCTTCGTGTAAACATACAGCCATCACGCTCACCTGACACATTTGGCACGGTGCTTATTTCTTGTAATGGTACTGTTTTGAAAAAGAATTTATTAAATTATCTCAGTGTGGTTTAATTTTTATACTTGTAGGAGAACGTCAAGTAGATAAATTAACAAACCAGACCATGCTTCCTAATTAGAGCCTCAGAAAATGGAGTCACCATTCCTCTCTAGGCCCCCAGCTTCTTGTAGAGCAACGGGAAAAAGATCTCAAGTTCTGCAGTAATGCCCTGCAGCAACCACCCTCACTCAGACTCCTCTCTTTCAGGACCTGATTAAGGCATATGTAAGGTTTCTCAACTGATGTTTGAACAAGCCGTGACTGGGACCCGGCTTCCGACTTAGTTCTCCTGCTATGTGGCTAATAAATGTAAGACACTGCTCTGTATTGTTACCACTTGTCACCAAGTTCTCCCCAGAAATCCAACATGCAGATCAGCTGTCAATGTTGTCAACCGTCTGCCTTATTTCATTGGCAATCACACTGATTCATCTTAACTAGCCAAAACATTCCAGAGACATGGCAAGCCCACTGAGAATGACCCACCGGGAACTTGTATGAAGAGAACAGCTGTGTAACTGACAAGAACACGAGTCACCAACAGGTTGCACACTGCTCTGCCTGATGCAGCTGTTCCAATGTTTGACACTCGCTCCCCACCAACCAGCATACTGCACAGACAGCATCTCTCCTATCAGATAAAGACAAATCCAGGGAGCCCAACGAAACGCATTCAGACTTGGTACAGAAGAGTAAACGTCTCTTACCTTGCATCGTCGCTTTTGTTGGTTCTGAGAACAGAGGGATGAGCAAGAGGTAGATGAGGTAGACAAAGGAGAGCCCATTGTATCGGAATGCACACGCTGTGGTTGGGAAGAGAGAAGAGAGGGACAATCATTAATAATGGCAGGCTGACTGGGAGGGTGCACACGGCTGCGTGGGTGACGGCATCAGGGATTGCTGGATCAAATGGTATCACTGCCTAAGTAGACATGGCAATTTACAAAGTAAAAACTGAACACTTATTCTGTGTTCATCACTATATTGAGCATGATGAGAAACAGAGAGTTAAAACACATGGTTCCTCCTCTTAAAATCCAACCAGGAAGGCAACACCAATATATCTGAATGAAGGCAGGCCATAATTTAGCCCTAAATTAAGCTGAGCAGATGAAAATTACTACAGAAATACAAAGGGCAATGGGACTGGAGAGGTTTGAGATAGTCAGGTAAGGCAGTCAGTGGGAGAAATGAGACTGAAGAGAAAGTCAAGAGAAGAAAAATATTTGCTAAATGCTCTATGACAGGGCTTTCCACTAATCATCTCGTTTAATCTTTATTTTATAAGTAAGGACACTCAGGCTCAGAGAGACTCAATCACTTCCTGAATTCCCCCAGCTAGGATCTGACCCAGTCAGAGTGGAACTCATTCTGCCAGCTCCCAAGGCCACGTTCCTTCCTCTGTATCAGGCATCTTATGGGTAGCACAGAACCCAGAGATGCCTTACCTCTCCAGGTTCCCATCTCCTCCTCTGAAATGGGTATAATAATTGGCTCTACCTCATAGACTTAACTTGAGGAATAACTGTAATAATATGCTTAAAACACTTGGCTCAGAGTCCTTATACACAGGAAGCCCTCAAAAACATAGCAATTATCATAAGCATCCTCATTCTTAGACAGGGAGGCGAAAGTGTGCAGTACTCCACGTAGAAAGAAAATGAGCACATACAGCTATTAAAAATAAATTCACTGGATGAATAAAGAAAGACCAAAGATGAGAGGGAGTAAGTATGAGTTTGCTGGGTGAGGAGATCAATTTGATGGATGTCACAGGATGGAGAAAGGCTAGAATAAAAGTTAGTTAGTAGGAGAGAAAATGGAGGGCAGGGAATATGGAGTCAACATGTTAAAAAATAACTAGTCACTGACAATTCTGATCAGGAGAAAACACCTCAGAAAGATGAACCTGGTGCTCGTGCATGAGCTGGACCGGCGGGAAGTGAAGCTTAAATGTCCGAGTAGTTGGGGTATAAATGAGGACTGGAGATGGCGCGTTAATGACGGTAACTTTAAACAGAAGTAGATGGAATAAAGACACTTAAGAAGAAAGTGGTAAGTTTAGACACATTCATGGAACCAAATCATGGGCCTCAGGTCTGAGAAAACGTGAGTAGAGAGTGAGGACAGTGTCTGTGCTCCGTGACTCTAGAGGGAATGGAGACGAGTCCTGAGCAGAGGAGTTAGCTGAGAGGACAACAAGGGATGAACTCTCCAAAGGCAGGAGCAATAAAGAGAAGCAGAAAGATGGAAGCATCTGCCTTGGCTGTTGCCCACATATGAGGCGGGGGGGGAGGGGGGGGAGGAAAAGCTGGCAGGCACGAAAGAAAAAGGCAGCTGAAAATTTAGGTACTCACATGAGAAAAAGCAGGGAAGCGCAGTTTCACAAGAGGAAAAGTTTTCATGAGAGAAGTTCACTATAACAGAGAGCGGCACTTGTCTGTCATCGTCAGTAAGGATGTCCTCAAGGGCCTCAAGGCAAGGGTTCAGCCCAGAGGAAGGATGGAAGTCAAGGGATGGAAACAGAAGGGAGGCGCTATCATAACCAGGAGCAGGAAGCAAGAGTCCAGGGGGTTCCGAGGGGTCCAGAGCCCACGGAGAGGGCTGAGCAGGGAAGACGTGGCATGGGCAAAGCCTGGCTGCTCCTGGTCGCACAGTGTGGAGGGTCTGGGACCTGGGCATGGTCCAGTGTGGGACGCAATCAGGAATAAGAGACAGGGTACCCAGACAGGGAGACCAGATCAAGAAGCGCTAATCCCTAGATAGAATTTGAACAACAGGCATATGGCACATGCAAGCGCAGGGTGCCCAGCTTCGGTGGCTTACTCCAGAAACCAGCAGTGAAAGAGGTAAGATGGGGCACGTAAGGATGGTGTGGTAGGGAGGAAGGAATTGACAAAAAGTCTTTCTTTATCCCAAAGGGTTGTACACATAATTGTAGCTTTTTACAACACCACCGACATTCCCAATCTCCTTTATGAAAGATCCAAAGCAGGAAGAAACTTTCACACTATCAATTGGACCAGCAGGAAAACATATGAACGAGGCAATATCAAAGAACAAGAACAGAGGCTTAAATTGTCTTTGTAGTACATTTTTCCTTCTGCTTCTTATTTCTCATCCAGAACTGAAGTTCCTTAAAAACAATCCAAAGACATTTGTTTATTCATCCATTCGATAAATATTTATTGAGCATGTACTATGTGCTGGGACTGACAAAGAGCCCTTCTTGACTCTGGGAGCATACATTTTGGTGGGGAGGTGTATGAGGAACAACAAATTGTAGTAGAAGCTCAAATACAAGGTATGTTGGAAGGTAAGTGCTGTATAAACAAGAAGTCAGCAGGAAAGGGGCCCCTGCGACAGGGAAGGCCAGCTGCAGCATTCATGCAGAGCACTGAAGGTAGACCTCAAAGAGAAGGGGAGATGTGAGCCAGGAGGTGAGCGAGCTGACCCAGGCATCCCGTGGAAGAGCGTCCCAGCGGGTCAGTGGCTCATGCTGAGGCGCGAAAGCAGAAGCAGAAGCAGAAGCAGGCCGGGCCTGTCTGACCTGCCCCAGGCCACCCCACGGGGAGCCCAGCACACCAGCAGAGTCCAGGAGGGGGCCGGATCATGGGGGCCTTGCAAGAGATCAGAGGACTTGGATTTCACTGTGAGAGGTCTGTTACCGACAGCTGGATCAAGGTTGCAGGCCTGGCTCCTGCCTTTGCTTGCAGCTCCATTTCCCAATATGCACCCTGCCTTCTGTGCCACTGCCGCCCAACTAAACAGCCAGCACCTTCCACATGCTCTCTGCTTCCTGCGTCTAGCCTCACAAGCACCATTCCCCCGGCTAGAACACCCTCCTGTACTTTCTACATCAGACATATTCCCACACAGTTTACACGTTTCCTCCTCTGGGAAGCCGTCCATGACCACGACCTCCCACAGATGGAGGTGCACTCACTCCTGGTGCCTCCTCCAGAGCACTTCTCATTCATGTCACATGCATCTGTTTACGCGTCTGTGAACATCTCTGTCGTCTCCAGTGGCCAGTGCACAGGAGGTGTTCATGCTCACAAAAGGAATGAACCGTGAGTGAACAAATGAAATGGCACAAACAAGACGTGAGGGCATCTGAAAAGGAAATCAGGGTCTCAGAGGTGTACAGCATTTCTGGTAGCACAGAAACATCACAATTGACACTGTCCAAGATAAACATTTAGTAACCTGGAATGTTTCTTTGTTTTCAGCCTTAGGTTTTTTTTTTTTTTTTTTAACGTTAATGTGTATTGTGCAGTAAAATTATCTAATTCTGTATATTTCTGGGTAAAGAGAAAAACAGAGCTCATTTGTATGACTGTATCACTTTACTGAGCCTCCACAGTGTACTTATCCACTGTTAATTTACATCAGTAATAGCTTACACTGGTATGCTTACTATGTGTCAGGCCCTGACTATGCACATCACACATATTAACTCATACTATTACTAGCCCCTTCTACAGATACTGTCATTATTTTCTTTCTACCCACGAAAAAGCAGGCACGAGCAGGAAGCACAACTAAGTAGCTGGGCTGCGGTTTGAGCTGGGACTCCAGTTCCTGAGTCTGTGCCGCTGCCAGGAAGCTCCGAGGCCTGAGCGCTGCTCCACATCCTAACCAGTCTGCCTGCCCCCTAGTTAACTGCCAAGGGCTCGCGGACCAGAGCCTTCCTTCCACAGGGTGGCGAAACACTCTGCACGTGTTCGGCTGCTTCATTTTTATTACCTTGTTCTGTAAGGTTTTGTACAATGCACAGCGGAAATGCATACACTGAGGAAATTCCCGAAGATGAACTCTGGAGGAGGGAGAGAGGGGCCTGGTCTCGGTTTCCCACATCACAACCTTGAGTTACCATTATTTATAGTAAAGTCCAAAGAGCTTAAGAGGAGGATAAGGACAATCCGGGTTGGTAGGCAGCCTCTAAATGGTCCCTAGTAAAGGCTGCCTCCTGGTTGTCACGCTCGTGTGTAATCCACTGCTCTTGAGTGTGGCCTGGACGTGGTGACTCTCTTCCAGTGAACAGAGAGAGTAAAAGTATCAGGATACCACCGGATGGCTTCCATCATGGGGGCCCCTCTGCCTCCTGTCTCGCTCTCACTCTGAAGGAAGCCAGCTGCCAGGCTGTGAATTGTCCCATGGAGAGACCCACGTGGCAAGGAACTGAGGTCTGCAGCCAGCAGCCAGCCCTCACCAGCCAACAGCCACACGAGTTAACTCAGAAGCAGGTCCTCCTAAGACTGCGTCCCCTGAATGACTCCTCAACTGCAGCCTTGTGAGTGGGCCTGAGCCAGAGGCACCGGCTGAGCCACCTGGATTCCTGACTCCCAGAAACTCTGAGATAGTGTTTGTTGCTTTAAGCTGCTAAATGTTTGGGTAATTTGTATGCAGCAACACATGAGTAATACCCAAACTTTAAACAACATCAAGCAACCTCTAAAAATCCAACTTCATTTATTTTTGTCTGAAATTATCCCACTTGACTGATGACAGTAGCCAGATTGCTGAATTCTCTGCTTTTACTTTACATGTGTGAAGCTGCTACCCAGGAGTCACCCACCTTATGGGGACTTTGAAAGCCATATCTAAGTGATTTATCCCCATCTAGGGCAGAATCTGCCTTTGAACTTATCAATAAGGCACATTCAAGCTAGAAAAGCCCAGAAGGCACACTGCAAATGCTCCTTTGTCAAGCGTGGCATTGCCTGTGCTCAGGACCTGGAGACACTCAGAGCACACTCACTACTCTCCATTATGAGTTGCCACACTCTGGCTGCACCAT